CATAGTTAGCTAATCAATATTTTTTTATTTATACCAAAAACATAAGAGAAAAGATAGCACAAAGATTAAACACCCTAGATTATATGACTGATAAGATTAAAAATAGTAGTATGACAGTATTGCTTATTCTGCTTGTCTCCTGTAGAACTGCTAACATTCCATTCTTCCTCCCATATGATCTGTCCTTTTTCCCAAACCTGTTAGTACTTCTCAGACTCTGAGCATTCTCCACATTCATTGGGCACTATAGGTGTTTTCTTGCTTTAAGAGTTCAGCATTGTACTATTTCCTTATTGTTTTACACTTTGTTCCCAGTTATAAATTTTAGAGTTCTGATAAAGGATATGTTATATTTTTGAAGTCTATCCATAGCTAATATACAGCTCATCTCATTGGGACAAAAAAAGTTCATACAGCAGTTTAAATAGCTACTAAAGATGTACACAAACTATTCCTACTCTTCCTATATGCGCTTAGCTGACTTGCCCTTACTCTGTATTGTTTCTGTTGAACCAAGCAGAAAACAAAAGACAAGACAAAACAAAACAAAACAAAAGAATACATGAGAATATTTGTGAAGTAGAGCACAAAAGGAGCTCAACAAGATTAGGATGTTTTCTCCTTCAGTAGTGAAGGTGCTCATGGGTCCTTGTGTTGTCATAGTCAGAAAAATGGTCAAACAAGCTTCAGGCAAAAGAAAAACATAAGAGAAAAAAAGTTTTTTGGGGTGAGGGGGAGAGATGGATTCAATGTTCTCTGTAATTGTCCCTTGGGAAATAGCAGTCCAGTTTAAAAGCTTTTAATCGTGTAAAACAGTGACATGAGTAAACTGATATGCATAGAATTTGCTTCTGGTCTAAAGCCTGTTGATAAGCAATTACCATATTTGTTTGTTTGTTTGCTTACCATAAGATTTCAAAGAGAGAGGTGGCATCTCTATTTTAAATTTTAAACTATATAATTAAAATATTTTTTATTTCAATACAGTGATGCTTGTATAATATAAAGATTATTGACATCTATTATTTAGATAGCTTAGAATCTTGAAAATAAAGAGAAAATAAATACAATAAATACCATAATAGTTAATTTTTTCTTTCTGTAGATAGAAAAGTTTGGTAAATGTATACTTAAACAATTCATAGAATTCAAAGATCTAAGACTCAGTCATTTAGTTCTTAGCTTTTTCATAAGATAATGATAGTCTTCAAATTATAACCATTCTTTCAGCAACCATTCAAAGATACGAAGGCACTGAAGAAGGATTTTTCTGATCAGTCCTTAACAATCTGGCGGATGTAGCTGCCCTGTAATCATGTGATAAAATTTGGGTGCTTAGCAACCATCTCCCAATTTCGACTGATTGTAATATTCTGCAGTCATGTGATTGACGTTTGTGACCTTCCCTTCTGGCTATGATGAATTACAGTAACATATCAGTTTCCAGCAATGAGGGAGCGCATTCCAAGGAACGGGCGAGATGAGACAGCGTAGGTGGATCACTGGAGGAGAAAGAAATCATGCTTGAATCTCCCAGGGTATATCCATTAGGCTAGCATAGCTTTAGTCTGGCAAGATTCTGTCTATACAGTATATGAAAATAAAGAATAATGTAAACTTTGGTTACATTGTTTTACACCTTTTGGGGGCTAGGCTTGACACTGGCTTCCCATTGACTGCTTGTGAAAAGCTGGCACAGTTGTAAATCAGGCTCTTGAGTATGTCCCCCCATCTCCTATCAGCCTTCACAGATAAACTTGACAAGAAACGGCACTAGATGAACTAATTCAACTTTATTGTGAGGCTACAACAGAATCTTGCAAGTCTGAAGGCATAGACTTCCTGTAGTCACTTTTAACTGCTTGATCCACTTGGGTGGGTCCTTCCTAAATTTCTTTCTCTAGTTGTTAAGCCACTGGGGGACTGTTTCTCTTGTTCATTTTCTAACCACCATCTCCCCTTCACATATTCGATTACCTCAATGGCACTTCCTTTACTTGTACATGCTATGCCTTCCTCCCTTCACTCCCATGTGCCATGTACATGCTGTGCCTTTCCATCTTCGCTGATAACACGTTCACAACTTCCTCCTTTCCCAACTCACTGATGCATGCTCCCACCAGCGCCCTTCTTGCTTGAATCTCCCTGCATTCACATATATGCATGTAACAATCAGTGTTGTTCCCAAGCCTCCAAGCATTCACCAACATGCATGCATCAAACAGTGCCCTCCTTCCCTGGGTTTTCCTACATTTGCATACACTCCATGCCCTCTTTCTGTCTGCACTTACACTCATGCACTCATCAGTGCTATCCTTCCCAGACCTTCCTATACTTGCACACACTTCTTCCCAGGCCTTCCTATAGGCTCATACTGCACTGTCCAGGCCCTCAACTCAGATATGGCCTCCTCAGTCCCAATGCTACTGTCACAGAAAAATTCTACTTAAAACTCCACATCACAAGTCTTTACTGCCTCATCACTGTTCTCTAAGCCACAAATCCAATTCCTTCTCCAAACCATGTGTCCCCATCTAATGATTCTGGTCTTCCCCAGGTCTCCTGAGAATAGAAGTACTGTTTGGAGAATAGCAGGAGCCCCATTTTCATGGTCCTTTGAAAGGCTTCCTTCTTCAAATTGTGTGCACCATTCCTTCTCCAGATAGTGTGCTCCTTCTTGCGAGACCTGGGGAAAACCAGAGCCTTTCCAATGGATAGTAAGAATGGGATGTGTAGCTTGGGAAGGAATAGGATTTGTGGCTTGGGAATAATGTGAGGTAGCAAAAACCAACAGCGTGCAGTTTGAACAGTATTTCTCAGTGGCAATGGCGATGACACTGAGTCTGAACCTTGGTAGATGACATTGCTAGAGTTCCTGGGCCTCTGCTTCAGCCCCAAGCCTTCTATTGCTGCCAACAGCTGCCAAAAGGCCATAAATCTGGGGTGGGGGTTTGTAATGCTCCTGCTGACATAAGTGATGCTGGGCCAGGTGGGGCAGCTAAGGCTTCTGAGGACAATTGCAGCTTTCTGCTATACTGCAGCACCCCAACATGTATGCAATCTGTACTGGACACTCCAGGGCCTCCCTATATCACCCCTGTGCTCTTCTCTGGAACTCCCTCTGCTTAATAACTGAAAATTTTGGATGTTTCTTGTCATAAACTAGCAAAAAAGCTAACAAATTGTGATCATGTAAGCGCAGGGTGCTGCAACCAGTCTAAACCTGATTTACCTGATTGCGCCTTAATTGCAATTATGTGACTATAGAGGTGATGCAGTGGTCATAAGTGTGAGTAAAAGTCGTAAAGCACTTTTTTCAAGGCTGTCCTAACTTCAAACTGTTGTTAAACAAACATCAGTAAGTCAAAAATTACCTATAGTAACACTTAAAAGTACATTACTTAGGGGTTCCAATCAACCAGATAAGAGAATAAATATCTATGGAGAGCTTGCAGAGTAAGAAGCACTGAATACTGTTCTGAATGCATGTAAAAAAAATCAGGTAGGTTCACAAACTCCATAATAACTTAACCCATGATAAAACTAAAAAAAGAAAACTCTGCTCATTATTTCTGCATCATAGTGTGTAGGCAAGAAATTGAGAGACTAAATAAAGGGAATTATTTCAGTAAAAACTCTTATAAAACAGAGCTGGTTTATGCTCAGGGATTTTTTCTTTACACATGAAAACTGATGCTCAGGAATGTATTTTACAGGCTTCCATTAGAGTTTGTATATGTGGGAGTTCAGCACATAAATGAGTTGAAGCTGATAATTGCCTCATTTGTATTGCTAACCTAGCTTTCCACAGTTGGTTGCTTCATGCTCAAAATTGCCCCCATTGGGATTAAACATTACGTTTAAAATAAACACATCCAGCTCTTTTTCCTTACATAATGCATTCATTTAATGAATGTGTTTTCCTCTACTGTAACTTTCTTTTGTATAAGCCAAATTTATCCTGAAAGCTAAAGCAATAAATATTTTTTAAAAATAATGTTAGGAAATTTGCATTATTGCATTAAAACATTTTTGATATATGTGGAATTCCTAGAGCTGGATGGGTTTATTTTTAACATACATTTTTAATAATATGGAGATAACTAATTCTTCACTTTTGAGTATAACACAAATGCTGAAAGTGCAGTAGTGTATCATAGATGCTTTACTATTATTTGGTTTGTTTCTAATTATTCTGAAGTTATATAATGTTACTAGTTGACAAAATATTTTTACGTGGTTGCTTCCATTGTATTTATTACTAATTGTGTCGGAGATTTGATTGAGAAAAATGTGGTTTGCTTATGGCTTTTTGATATATATGAAGCCACCCATTATGACTTAATATTATGCACAAAATCTTGACTCTGTAGAGATTCCACTGCAATTGGAACATACCTTCTTGCTATAATTTTATTTTTAAAATATTTTAGCAATTTTCTGGAAGTTTCATAGTGTCATTTTTCTGATTAGACATGCTAAATAGACCATATTTGTATTTGTTTCCAATAGACATTTTAAACAGACCATAATTAAGCTTTTTGCAGGATACCTTTACAAGGCTATCTTTGACTTTTTTATTCAGTGATTTTAACACATTTCTTTTAATTGTTCCAGGTTTGTACTAATAAAGTTCTTTTCAAAATAAATTGCATCTCTTTCTATATTTCTTTTTGTTTCCTGCCAATTTCTTTGAGATTTTTCTGGCTACCTATGTTTTAAAAATATATTCCCCATTTGTTCCAAGATAGCTTTTCACTCTGACCTGCTACTGCTAATTTAAATTGGACACAAGCTAATTAGTTTTCCATTGTAATTCCACTTTTTCAACATTGGTTTTGGAAATAATCTTCACATTTTTATCTGTCTAATGGAATCTAGGTAGGGTTCTGTGTAAACCCCATCCATTAGCATTTTTATAATCTGCTTTTGTTTGTATAGGAAGGTTATTTGAATTATTTTATGTGATCTTACTTAAACAGTTGTATTTCTACATGTAGGTTGCTATACTTGCTTCAGCAAGAAAACTCCAGCACTGAGCTGAAAACAGAATGTGCAGTAGTTCTAGGAAGCCTTGCAATGGGTACAGAAAATAATGTTAAATCTCTACTGGACTGCCATATCATACCAGTCTTATTGCAAGGTACCTACGTTTTCATTATTTCATTCGTTTTTTGAGTACACAGTTTGTGAGAACTGAAAAATAATCTAAACTTGTATTTACAGGGTTACTATCACCAGATCTTAAATTCATTGAAGCTTGCCTCAGGTGTCTTCGTACTATTTTCACCAGCCCTGTCACTCCTGAAGAATTATTGTATTCAGTAAGTTACAGGCAATAAATTATCTTTTGAATCTGTGTAAAGTTTTATTTCATGCATGTTTCTGGGAGAATTTAGAATATTTGAAATTAAAACCATTGCCATTTAGCCAAGCTAAAAACTCATTATAACTCACATGACAAACTATGTTGGTGTCAGAATTGACTTCACAAAATAATTTGAATTTATAGTGTTTATTGGCATGCTTACAGCATGCAAGTTTGAGTTTTGTATATTGCATTCCAAGATATAAAGGCAAATTAATCTTTTTTTTGAGAATCATATACTGTTACTATCATCTGTTATGTGAAAAGCAAACATAACTTTATTGTATTTCCTATTTGAGAAATACGTGAATAATATTCATTATATTGATTTGAGTGGGGACTGATGGTTTTAATAGTGAAATGAACATACTTTTAGAATAATCCACAAGCTATAAAAGTAATATTAGAATTATTGTACATTTTATTACTTTGCAGGAGACTTTAATTGTCCTTAAGTATAAAGTAATCATTTTCATCAGCTGATTACCTGGGCCATGTAGGAAAGGGTCCCACATGTGGCTTTCAAGATGGTCCTCAGCCTTACACTACAAAATATTCCCAATGTCTTAAATATTTAGCAGTTTATATTGCTTATTTTGTACTCCAAGTATATGCTATTATTCTTGTATTTCTTAAGAATTTCCCTTTACCTCCACCTTCCCACTCTCAGCTGTTGCCAATGTTCCAAGCAGCATACCCCTACCTGGCCATTTATCTCCTGATCTCCCCTGGACTTCCCATTTTTCTTTCCTCTGCCCCAATGCACTTGACTTTTCTCGCTTCTCCCCTCCTATTTTCCTGGAACAAAGGATCCTGTTTCCTTCCATGTATGAACTTGAAACACTGTTTCCTATGCTGAGTGGTTCATGCATGGAACAATTTGCTCATATTTTAATTACTATAGTCATTGGTGGGCTGTGATTGGCTTTCTGGGTTACTGACTTTGTAACTTGAATAGATTCTGAAAATAATCTAGTTTTGTTATTTTGTATTAAGGTTTTATAAATTCTTTGTTTTCTGAAAAGCCACCATCATAAATGAGCAATGAAAATTGAGATTAAGCTCCTTAGAGCAAAAATTCATAATGCATTACGTATATCAATGAGATGACATTTAATAGAAATTGTCCAGACAAGTATTAATAATCTAAATTTTTAACTGGTCTACCAATTTCTGTTTCCATATATTTCTAAGCAATGCAGAAAATATATAAAAGCCATTCTAAAAGAAGGTTGAAAATATCAGTACTCAAGGTATCCTGTGATGCTAGTTAGATTATGTTCTTAAATTGCCAGAACTCTACAATCTTTGTAAATAAATCTTTGTTTATATTGTGTGTAAATTAATAGTAAACTTTGCAGTTCTCAAACTGCTTCCTTCTGAACCACAATATAGAATAAAATTTTGTGCCAAGTCCACAAAGTAGATTTATCTGTGATTTTTTTTGTATTAAAATGCTTTGTTTAACTTTTTTGACTTTTTAAGGATGCTACAGTTATTCCCCACCTCATGGCGCTGCTTAGTAGGTCTCGATATACTCAAGAATATATATGTCAGATCTTCTCACATTGCTGCAAAGTAAGAAATGTAATGAATGTTCTTTCCATATGCATATGTTTATTTGCTTCTGAAGTATTGTTTTCCAAGTGTTTTAAATAATTTTTCTCTTCAATTCATTGTGTTACTCTCAAACATAATCTCTAATTGGCGTGTATACGATATACTTGAGGCTATCCTGAATTTCTTAACTCTTGAAGCATTATGTACTTGTTCCTTGTTCTGTGAGTTTGGCACTAAATTTGTAAATATAAGCAACAACTTTTCTTTAAAAAAATTATAAATATTTTATAGAATAATATAATTCCAGTACAACAGAGTAAATTGCTATATTCACCCTGATCCTTCCTCTTCCCTCCTAGAAGATTGGTGAAAGCTTTGATATGGTGTTCTGTAGATGTGGTCCATGGATGAATTTGTCAAGGCTTATAGAAATGATGCTTTACAAAATTCATTAACAGGTTCAGAAATTCAGTCTCTTGAATTGAAATCTTTTCAAATCTGCAGCCCTATATACATTCTAGAAGAAACATTAATAGAATCACAGTTTTCAAGAAAGGCAGACAAGAACAGAGTATTCAGATAGTGGTTTCATAGCTGAAATCTTAAATGGTATCATTGAATGTTCTATATATGTAGAGAGAGAGAATGTATACATAGAGGGGGGTTATCAGGTTCTTACATGGTTTTTGGCATTTGGCCTCTGTACACCATCACATTGAATTTCAAATGAAAACTCAATATGTGAATGAAGTGAAGTTTTTCAGTTTTAATTCAAGGGGTATGGCAAAAGTATGGCATTAACCATTGAGATTTTGTCTTCAATAAATGAACAGCGTGCTCTATTAGATTGAGCAAGGGTAACTGACTTGGCCAGTGAAGAATATCCCATTTCTTTGCCTTGAGAAACTCTTGGATTGCTTTTAGGTCATTGTATGTTTTAGGTCATTATCCATCTGCAATATAAAGTGGTGATTGATCAGTTTTGCAGTATTTGACGGAATCTGAGCAGAGAGCATAGCCCTATGCCAGCGATGGCTAACCTTTTTGGCATTGAGTGCCCAAAGCTCACATGCGCATCCCGAAAATACAATACATGTGTGTCACCTGTACATGCACCCCCCATGCATGTGCTTTGCCCCCACACATCTGCCCCATCCCTGCGCATGCTTGTGTGTCCCCTGCGCATGCGCCTCAGCCCCGTGCTTGTCTGCGCATCCCCTGTGCATGAACAGCAAAGATCCAAAGATCAGCTGGCTGGCAGGAGGTGCACACACGCATGCATGGCGGAGCTAAGCTGGGGCGATGGCTCACGTGCCCTCAGAGAAGGCTCTGTGTGCCACCTCTGGCACGTGTGCTATAGGTTCGCCGTCATGGCCCTATGCAGTACAGAATCCTTCCTGCTTCTTTCATCAGCAGTCAGATCATCAATAAACACCTTTGGTAGTCACATATACCCATGCCATAACAGTGCTGCCACCATGTTTGACAGATCATCTGGTATGTTTCGGATTATGAGCTTCTCTTTCTCCCCCCCTCCCAATTTGTGTCTGTGTGATCCACAATTTGGGAGCAAATGAAAAATTGATATTTTAATAATACAGGTAATTGCTTAGTGCACATTAGGATTTAGTACAATCCATAATCTATGAGGAATTTGAAGAGTGAAGTAGGAAGAATGGAAAAAAAACTCATTGGGGGAAGGGAATAGGCTACCATTTTTTCAAAGCTTGAGCTTTGAAAAAGAAAGATGGTATCATACTTGGCTTTAGTTTTATATTTTTTAATATCTGTTCTTCAGCTCCGACACTGGCATAGCTGCAGCTTTAAATCCTCACCTCAGCCACTTCTGTGTGCCAATGTAAGTTTTTTTCCCCTACAATGATTGCATTTTTAAATTAAGAAATTTGTCTGTGTCAACAGTCCAAATTATTTTCAGATGTTGTTATGCTGGTTAAATGTAGCTTAATATTTTGTTTTTACTTGAATCAGGATATATGTACACATTTTATTAGCGCAGACTAACATTTTAGAGCACTTTTCTGATTTGAAGTTAATATAAAAACGAGAGGATTAAAGTGTATTAGCAGAAAATGTTGAAACATTTAATAATAAACTGAAGAGAATCTGTGGTATGAGTATCAAAATATACTGTAAACCCCCCTGCCCAAAAACCCCCATGAAGTTCAAACAGAGATTTTTCAACTTTCATCTTTGTACAGCTAGCCAAAATAAAAAGTTAAGGGTTTTAAATTGAACAAAGTAAACAAGGTGCTCTACATTATAATTGGTTCATAATAAAGATAATATATTATATTTCATTGTTAAACCTGGCATCATATTAGAAGAGAAAAGAAAGTGACACCTGTTTGTTCACTAGCTAAAGGAAAGCACCTTGAGCAAAAAGGCAGTAAAGTCTGGCATGTGTTATCTCATTAGTTAGTAAGATAGTACTAAAATGTATTAATCTTTTTTGTTGAGGTTGGTGACATTAATTAGAAACAGTGATTTGTTAGATACTTTTCTATTCTTAACATTATCAAGATGATTCTGAAATTACTTTGATAAAAAGATGAGAATAAAGTTTTGGGTAGGTTTTATATGTTAATATTTGATTAGCTCTAATTTGGTCCATGTAATCCTCATTTACGAACATTCATTTAATGTCTGAAGTTATGATGGTGTTGAAAAAAGTGAAATATAATCAATACTCACACTTACAACCATCACAGTATTCCCTAAGTTACATGATCAAAATTTGGGCGCTTGAGAATCAGCTCGCAATTACAATTGCAGTGTCCCATGGTCATATGATTGCCATTTATGACCTTCTCAGAGAGCTTCCAACAAGCAAATTCAATTTGGGAAACTGGATTTATTTAACAATTATGGGATTCACTTAAGGACTTCAATGATTTCCTTAACGACCAAGACAAAAAAGTAACACTGGGTGCAACTCACTTAACAACCACAATACTGCTCTCACTTGTCAGTTCATGGTTAACAGTATAGCCTTTATTACTCATATACAGTAGAATTTGGATAACAGAATACCTTTACCTTTATTGTCATTGCATTCAAAATACAATGAAATTTGAAAGGTACTCCAGCACAGTGCCCCAAACACCACCACATCACAATCACAATCACAATCACACTACAGAGTATTTAAAAATTAAAATAATTAAAGTAATAATAATAATAATAATAATAATTAAAAACCTAATCTAAAACCTATTTAAAACATATATTAAGTTAGATAGTTTAAAAATGCCACTTTATACATAGGACTAAATCACAAATGTACTGTTTGATTCAAGATAATTATTGCCTTGGAAAAGAAACTGTTTCTCAGTCTATTAGTCCTCATTTTAAGACACCTATAACATCTCCCTGATGGTAACAATTCGAAATATGAATGACCAGGATGAGAACAGTCTGTGGAGATTTTTAGTGCTCTAGAGAGGAGTCTGGTCTTCACAATCTCTTCCAAAGAAGAAAGAGAGCAATCGATGATTTTTTGTGCTGTGTTTATAACCCTCTGGAGCATCATCTTATCCACTACAGAGCATCTAGCATACCACACAGTTACACAGTATGCCAAAATGTATGCATAGTTATAGGGAAAGGTTTTTTATGTGATTAGGACACAAATGTTTTTGTCCCTTCATAAAGAATTAACATTCAAGTCTGATAAATTCAGCAATTTGGAGCCAAGAGGTCAAACAATGATCATCAGGAAATTCAGATGAGAAAAACTGGCATCTCAGAAAAAAATATTCAAAGGAACATATTTTAAAAAAAAACTTATTGGAATTGCATTTCTTTTGGTTTATTATCTTTTTTATAGTTAAAGATGCAGTTAAAGATATATAGTTAAAAAATGAAAAAATATAGTAACAAATTAAAAATACCTAGTATCCTAAGTTTTTCACATGCCATTTTGGGTTCTTTTTGCTTTTTACTTTTGTTTTAAAACCTTTCAGTATTAGCTACTTTAAGTATTTTGATGTTAATCAGGAATGCTTTAAAAAAACAAAAATATGGAACAATAAGTTTTACACTTCTTATCCATCTACTTATCATTAGTTTTATCATTTCTTTAAATCTTCTTTCCATTCCCCCCCATGATATCCATCTAAAGTGAGTTGGGTTGAAAGAGAATAACTGGCCTAATGTTTCCAGGTAGCTCACGTGGCTCAGGTTAGACTTGAACTTATATCAAACTAGTCCAATTCCTTAACCATTATGCCCAACTGGCCACTACTGGACCATCAGTTAAAAATCTCTTTCCCTTGGCACTCCCCAAAGTTGCTGTGGTCCAGATTGTGCATCCTTAGCCTTATGCTTTCTTCTGCACACTTTTTTTTCAGTCAACAGCCAAATCTTACTGAAAATACTAAAGTGTATTGAAATAAGCTTCTTCTAAGTTTGTATCAATTGCTACCCTATATGAACCTTTCTTATTGCATCTTATAGCCATGCAAGATGTTTATGTTATGCAAAACGCTTAATAATGTTCTATTCCAATAGCATTGACATTTGGTGACCATAGACAGCTGCAATTTTTTATTTGAGATTTATTTTTCATGTTTCAACTGTTCAGTATCATTCACGAGAATCTCATTTCTATAAAAAAAAAATAGGAACTTCCACTTTAAATATGAATACAAGTGTTTTTTATAAAGGGTGTTTAAAAGCACTTATAAAATAGCCAAAAATAGTTACAAACACAAATACAATACAAATCCAACATTTATATTGCAATTGGTATAATTCCCTCTTGAGATATATGAAACACACTTGGATTTTTCATTTTAAAATGTATAAATATGCTTCTCCAAGATCTTCCTTATTTCCTACTCGTAAAATATATAATTCCCCCCAGATGATGTGGGCTTTTGCATTTTAAAATTTGATTTTTGGGGGGGCAACATATAGTTAATATTCTAAAGAGAGATGCTAAGGGAAACCCACTGTTACCATTTTTTACAACATGAACCTTGTCTTTGTTTTTACTTTTTTTTTTTTCAAAATAGTAACTTCTTCCCTAGTGCTACAATTTTTTGCAGAAAGTACTACTTGCAAGCTTGGTGATGCTTCTCTTCCAAGTCCTACTTGAAGGGAAGAACTATTTTTCTCTAGAATGAGCAATGTAGTTCATACTTTTATAAAGTTTTGTGTTCTAAAAATTGCTGGGCAAGCAGTGAAGGTGAAGTCATGTAACGATAATCCAATTCTAATATTTATTTGAAATTAGTGAAATTAGACATTGAAAGCAGTAAGCCTGCAATTAACTAGTATAAAGTAAAATAACTTGATTTTCTTTACTGTATGTTTAAAGAGCTGTGGTTTGTTTTGTGATAGGGTCCAGACCATCAGACAGTGCTATTTAATCATGGAGCAGTGCAGAATATTGCTCACCTCTTAACCTCTGCATCTTATAAAGTAAGAAAGTCATACAATTTATATTCTAAACTAAGCTACTATTTTAAAAACTTGGTGCAATGTTATTGGCAGAATAATAAGTTAACATAGCTCTTTTCTGCTAAAAAAGGAAGTGCGTATTTTTTTCAGTTTAGGCTTGGATGTATCTGTATAGATGTGAAAGAGATCTTATTTCTTGTAAAATAGTGTTAAAAGAGTAAGCTTCATATTTTTTATAAAGGATTTTTTTCCTGATGTGCATACATGTACTAAGACAACAATTACGTTTGGAAGAAAATACTATTAAGAGAGTTAGATTTCTATGAAGCTAGCATTTGCCAGGGAACATTTAGACATATACTTATTATATCATAATTATAAGTGTTTGGTATCCAATATGCCAAAATCAAAACAAATTTAGTGTATGAGAATAATTACACTGAAATTGATAGTCAAGTTATTAATATATGAAGTTGAGCAAAATGATAGAATTAATATTTACAGGTGGCTTTAATATCTTTTTGTTGTTTGGAGTATTAAAAAAGTATTAAGTTAAACTTGAAATCTCTGAGTAGATAAAGAACTATAATTATATTTATCTATAATTGCATTATTTATAATATTAACTATTACAATATTTAAAGAGGACAGAAAACAAACATTTTATCACAAAATTTGTTGGGACTCTATAGAAAAGGAATTTGATCTATGTATTTTTGAATAACCACTTTTCCTAAATTAATATCCATGAAAACAAATTGTAGTCACTTTAGAAAACACACAAGGATTTGGCCAATAATTCATGTCCCTTTGGAAAATTTGTTTTTACCTTTGATAAGTACCCTTTAGTCTTTTAAATTTTTAAGATTTTTTGATATGTTTTAAAATGGCATTTTTACTTGACTTCTAATAGTTCTTAAAATACTTTAATTGTAATTAATGTAAATTCTGTATATTTATTCAGGTTCGAATGCAAGCACTGAAATGTTTTGCAGTTCTAGCCTTTGAAAACCCCCAGATATCAATGACTCTTGTAAATGGTAGGTTTCTGAGGTCAGTATGGCTACTCATTAAATAATTACAGTTAAATTGTTTCTTGAAACACATTTTCTCTTTGTTTTTCAGTGTTGGTCGATGGAGAACTATTACCACAGATATTTGTAAAAATGTTACAGAGAGACAAGCCGATTGAAATGCAACTCACATCAGCCAAATGGTAAACTCTAGGATGTAGGAAACATGCTAAATGATAAATTCTTTTTTATAATATTAATGTTCCAATTTAATCAAGAGTGCATCATATCAACCCCAAGAAAATAATATCAGACCCTTAATATCTCAATCACCAGCATTAATTGTAGGCAATTTAATAGTATTAATGGTAAGCAATCCTTTTAGGACAATGAGTACATTTGGACTTGCAGACATTTGGGGGGCATTTTCACAAAATAACCATGTTAGCTATGATCAATCATAAAACAGACATTTACTAGGAGGAGGACTGTGTGTTTTCTCATTATCCAACCAATTTTTAATCAACTCAGCATACATTTGTCTTGTATTTAGGAAGGTAGTTGCATTTCAAAATAAACCACAGAGCTGCAGCCAGCCACAATTTAACCTCTACTTTAATTTACTAAGAACCTTCTCCAAGTTATGTGTATTTGATTCCTTAATACTGATTTATTGAATTATAGAAAGAATTCTGTAACTTGGTTTATAGTGTCCCATCATAACTAAGTCTAGATTAATTCAAATTAATTAAATTTATACTGCTTTAATTAATTAAATTTATTAAAAATTAATTAATTAATTTAATTAATTTCAAATTAAATTTATACTGCTACATTTCCACACAGGTTTATAGTGGTGTATAATAAATAGCACAAATAGATGTTGCATTTGCATTGAATGAGGTCCATTTCTGAGTAATTATCAAAACATGCACAGTCCTAATGCTTTCCATGCTTTAGGTCTTAGTTTTTAGTGTCCGTAGTTGTCATTTAAAGAATAATGAACAGAAACAATACAGAACTGGGGACAACAGATGATACTCAAAATACATAACATATTGCTACTGTTGCCATTAAACAAATTTTAAATTTAATAAAATCAAAAGTATATATATATATATATATATTTAATATTGAACTTCGTAATCATGCTACTTTGATGTTTCATTGTAGCCTTACATACATGTGCAGAGCCGGAGCAATCTGTACAGATGATACCTGCATTGTGTTAAAGGTAGGTGGTGAATCATATTAATTGTACTTAAAACAGGTACCTCAAAAACAATGGAATGACTTTATTGCTAAAACAGGATGTTTAGTAAAGAGTAAATAATACAACTGTTCCTATTTAATTTTATTAGCATCATTGTTTTTATTGTGTGGTTTCTATACCACCTTATGTTGGTATTCAGTAATACTAAATTATTCTGTCTTTTAAATCATAATGAAGTTATGTAAGTCTAATACATTTTGTTAAGTGAAATTTGGTCTCATTGCTTAATTTGTGCAAATGTTATAGTTGCATATAATTGATTTGAATTTGTGATCATAACGCAGTATAAATATTGATTAATAAACAAGTGTATATCAGTAGTTGCTTTAAATTTTACTTTTGTGCAAATACATAACTAGGTTTGATGACATATTTGATTAGTAAATGCCTGTTAAAACATCTATATTTAGTGACAAATTTAACAGAAATTTATGTAAGAAATATGTAAACAATTAGTCAAAAAACTAATTTCAGATGTTGTAATTTCCAGACATTACCATGTTTGGCACGGATGTGTAGTAAAGAGAGACTACTAGAGGAGAGAGTAGATGGAGCAGAAACTCTGGCCTATTTGATTGAAACAGATATTGAACTACAGAGAATTGCCAGTATTACTGACCACCTTATTGCAATGCTTGCAGACTACTTCAAATACCCTAGTTCAGTGAGTGCCATCACTGATATAAAAAGGGTAGGTTTATTATGAATTAAGTAGGTATTACAAGTGTGCTTCTGTGTGCATGAGAGGAGGGGAGGGAATGAAAGTTTGGGTTAATAAATTTACTGTATATTTATATATAGAATCATTGTTTATAAACTCAGATGAAAATCTGACAGAATCTTCAGCAGAGACAATATGTGAATTAGTTTTTAGTTGTGCCTGAAATTTCTTTGGTCCTGACTTTGTATGAGTGAAATAAACTAGATGGGTTTTTAATAAGCTATACTAAATTGTTCCAAACAGTTAACATAATTACTATAGTTTCTTGTATTTGATTCTGTCTGAAGATGGGATTGAAATTCTGTATGTGAGAGATAAATGAAGAGATATTAGTTATGTCAACAATTAACAACTGCTCAACTTCATGACAGTGAAGTGCAGGACGAGTAAAAGATGGGAAATGCAACCATTTTAAATTGATTTAAGGATAAGGGGGAACTACATTTGCACATTTATAAAAGATAATCAGGTGCATGATATGATTTCAGTGCCAACTTTCAATCTACTAGTCTGCAAGCTCTGTAGTAGATAGAAATTGGAGATTTGCAGCTTAACATTGGCTCACAGAATATGATACAGTATAAATGTCCCCATTATTGTTTTAGCCCATTTAGGCTATCTACTCCAAAATTGTTTAATGCATTGATTTTTAGTGATGAGTTAAACATTACAGATAATATTCTTGTTTACTCTTGAATGGGATACAAATTTACAAAGCAAGGTCTAATATAGATGTAGGGAACATTTTTGCATACTCTCCCAAATCATTTCCTTATCTTCTATCTCTTCACAAAGATGGTGAAGAGTTTCAATTTAACCAATTTTTTTATATAGCTGTAATGGTGGGAGCATCTTAATATCATAGCAAACACTTCTGATTATACTCATAATGTACAGCTAAACAAATTGTTTTAGGGATTGGCTGCTGTTATACAAAATAATATACAATTCTGTAATGTTTTATGCAGTCACCCTCTTTGTTTTTGTCTTGCTTCATCTTGTGTCCTGTCCTACAGAGATTCTAAGTTTAAATTGACTCAAGTTGACTGGTTGTGAAAGTGGGCGTAACCCTGTTTAGTATTTTTCTAATATTAGCAATAGAAAACCCCAAGATTGTAGGCTAAACAGGAAAGCTGAAAAAAGTCCTGGATAAAAAAGACAACAACAAACAGTTTCTATATGTTTTTCAATAGCAATAGCACTTAGACTTATATACCACTTTATTGTGCTTTATAGCCCACTCTAAGCAGTTTTACAGAGTCAGCATATTGCCCCCAACAATATGGGTCCTCATTTTACCCACCTCGGAAGGATGGAAGGCTGAGTCAACCTTGAGGCTGGTGGGATTTGAACAGCCGATAGTCAGTAGAAGTGGTCTGCAGTACAGCACTCTAACCACTGTGCCACCCAGGCTCTATAATAATAATAAAAAGCAAACTCTTTCTATTTTGTTTCAAGATAATGCAATCACAAGGATTTGAGCTCAACTTAAGAGAATTGTTAAAATTTATAAGATTTCAATTATTATCATTGAGAAGAACAGAAATGAAGTTCTACACAAGATACAGAATAAAGTGCCAGTTGGAAATTCTTAAAGTGCTTCCTAATCTAAACTCAGACAATATCACTCAACACTCAGATGGTATCACTAAATGATAGTTATGAAATATGTCTTAAACTTCCATTCAGAACTCAGAATATATACAGTTTGATCAACATCCATGAGCAATTTAAAAAATGATGTGAATTTAATTATCTTTAATAGCTTGACCATGACTTAAAACATGCTCATGAATTACGCCAGGCTGCATTCAAGCTCTATGCTGCCCTTGGAGCAAATGATGAAGATATTCGAAAGAAGGTAAGTCTAAGAATTTATCAGGTAGTTTCCAATACCTCAAAGTCAGGAACATAACCTTGTCATTGAAGTATATGTTTTGCTTATCATTAGTTTCAATAACATAATATTTTGTAATGAAATAAGAAATCTGGAGAAAGTGTTGTAGTTTCCTAGTTAAAAACATTATGGTTTAATTGAAATGCAGAAAACTCTATAATTTTGACAATGCCTCTTAATAGACACAAAAAATATTCTTTTTGTACAATAAATATAATGTAGAACCATAATATAACAATATGCTTCATTGTCATAATATGACATAAGCATGAAATTTCTTTTTAAAATGTGAAATTCAACTTTTTTTGAACTTCACTAAAATAAATTTATGGCATTAAAATAAACATAATAAATACTTCGTTTAGTTCTGTAAAATCCAACAGCATTTTTGATAACTTTCTTTCAGATAATTGAAACCGAAAATATGATGGATCGGATTGTAAATGGCTTATCTGAGTCTAGCATCAAAGTGCGCTTAGCTGCAGTCAGGTATAAATTTACCTAGCGGGATTAATCTTACATTTCATATGTTCAGACTGACAGTTGTTCACTTCCTTTATTAGGACATACAATGAACTTAAATTATTTGAAAATTATGAATTATCTTTAGCAGTAATTGTAATATGATGAAACAGAATCTGAACTCTCAGTTTTTAGTTCAGTTTCTGAAAATGCTTACATGCAAAGCCGTCTCTATGGAAAGGAAGTATTTTAGAGCTTATACCTCATTTTTCTGAGCAGATGTTTGCACAGTTTGTCAAGATCTGTACAGCAACTACGAACAAGTTTCCAAGATCATGCTGTATGGAAACCCTTAATGAAGGTAAGCACATTGGGAGATTGTTGTGGTATAAAGTGGTCTGACAATATTATCCAGGTAGTCCTCAACTTATGACCACAATTGAGCCCATAATGTACTCTGCTAAGCAAGACAGCTGTTAAGTGAGGTTTGCCCATTTTATGATCTTTCTTACAAGAGTTGTTAAATGAATCACTGCAGTTGTTAAGTTACTAACATGGTTAAGTGAGTCTGGCTTCCCTATCGACTTTCCTTTTTTGAAGTCACAAAAGGTGATCCCAGAATACTGCAACCATTATAATAAATACATGCCAGTTGACAAGCATCTGAATTTTGATCACATGACCTTAGAAATGCTGCAATGGTTGTAAGTGTGAAAAAAGTCGTAAGTCACTTTTTCAGTGCTGTTGTAACTTCAAATGATCACTAAACGAATGGTTGTAAGTTGAGTACTATTTGTACAGTTTTAAGGCTAGTTAAAGACAAAATAAATTTGTACTGAGATATATTTCTAATGATTTACCCATTCATTTCAATTCATCTAAAATATGATATTGCTAAGATCTAGAAATAATTAAATATAATGGATTAGAATTAAAGTGTGTGACTGAATATAAAGTGGTTTTCAAGTAATAAGTAGTAGGTTTATACTTCTAATTAAAAAATACTATTTCAGTTTAGGTTCTTCTGTCAATGACAGCAGAATGCTTATCTTGCTAAATATGGTTTTTAAAAAGTAATTGTCCTACCCTCATTTTTATAAATCTGATATTTTGAAGCAGATATTTCTAAATGTCAATGTAATTGAAGTGCATATGGGAAAATATTAAAGTGCTTGTAAAGCTGTTTCATATGGTAAATGCTTTTTTAAAACTGGTGATTTTTCCAGTTTCAATCCTTATTCATTTATATATACTGTAAACTATTCAGAAAGCACAAGGAATGTTTGTAGTATTCTCAGAAACTTCATAGAAAATAATTTTTCATTATATTTTTTCACTAGTAAAAGACAGAATAGTAACTCAAAAGTCTTGAGTAATTTCTACCAAGGCTAGATTATATATCCTGTTATAAGAAATGGAATATTATGTCATTAAGCATTTTAAAGAAGGAAGGCATATTTCCTCTTCTTTTCATGGTTAAGTATAAACAGCTGATATGTCAATTAGAATTCTTTTGAAATTGGAAAAGATTTACTGCAAAAAACATGTTGGTACTATTTAATTTCCAAATGTTAATAAAGGAAGCTGGAGTTCAAGTTCTGCATCTACAAAAGTAGCAAGGCAAATGTATTTGTACCAGTCCCTGAATTATTCTAAATCCTTGAAAAGGAATACTTATGATGAAATTACTTTTTCTTTCTTTTTTTAGGTATTACAGAATGCTCCAGATGAAATTTTAGTGGTAGCATCTTCTACTCTATGCAATCTTCTCTTAGAATTTTCTCCAAGCAAAGAGGTTGGTTGTTTGGACTTTTAAAACCGTAAAAGTAGATCTTTGATTCTTTGCATAAAATGTAATGTGAATATGTACCGAGATCATGAGGGTGAAGTCCTGTTTCTGGTCTTTCTCAGCAGGCACATAAAAACAGTTTTTCTCTTAAAACAGGCAAATTTGAGTAAAGAAATCAGGCTGTTAGTGTTTACTAACAAAGCATAAACAGACAATAGAAGCAGATGTATCATAACAAATGATCAGAGAAAAAAGGTTGAGATAAAATTTCCCAGAATAAAAAGTAATTAAAGATGAAATAATGTTCCCTTCAGAAGTTGGAAAGAAATAAGATCAAAGATTTTTAAAAAGTATATTAGTAAAAACAGAGTGCTTGTAGTAAAATCCTGTAAACATAAATCAAATAGCTTTCATTACACAGGATGAATTTTGTTGCTGCTGATTTCTTTATAGCAAAGGTAAAATAATTTAGAATTCTAAAATAAACAATGAGAAAATGAAAATAACGTTATGTTAAAATCCAGCAAGGAGTTATATGAGTCAGCATTCAACCAGTTGATTAATGTGTAAATAAAAAGGGAAAAAACATTTAAAACATGCAGTTAAAACCAAGGTGTGCTTAAAAATACAAACAGCTGAAAGGAAAAAATGAAAGACTGAACCCTCCAATAGGTTCTACTGAGAATTGCAGCCATCAAGATCCCTCATCTTAGAAGGTACACAATCCTCCAAGGGTTGTCTTGGGTTGTTACTGGTGGTTGCTCCCATTCAAATCTGGGAAGCCATAGCCAGCTTTGGTGGCATAATCAGCTGTTTTTCAGCAAGTGGGAAAAAAACCCCTGCTGCTCAGCATGCCATCTTGGGAGCAAAATACGATTATTTTCAACTATGGGATGGAGTAGTCAACAGCTACCTTGGGTAGGAGAACCTGATAGAACATACTGGAAAATCAAAAGATTGGGTGAAATATTTATGGCATTTGAACTGAGTATACTACACTGTCTGAGCTTATAACAACATAAAATGTGTGAAGAAAGAAGATGTGAAAGTTTAGATGTGTATTCTGGATTTTTTTTTAAGTATCTTGTTTTTTGTTTAAGAGCAGATTTAATGTACAAGAACAAAATGAAAGAATATATATGAAATTAGGATGTTACTGAAATTTCTTAACTGGTTCTGCTTTTGTTATATGTAGCCTATCTTAGAATCAGGAGCCATAGAACTTCTCTGTAGTTTAACTCAGAGTGACAATCTTGCCTTGCGAGTGAATGGAGTTTGGGCTTTAATGGTAAGCATCAATGTTAATCTGCTAGTTTTATGTATGCATCTCCAATTTTAGATTTTATTTCTTTATTAAATTTGTATACTATCAAATCATCTGAGATCTAGAATGCTTTCAAGGATGGGAAATCAAAACAAAATCTCAACTGCTAAGAAATGTTTCTTGTAGCAGATGATAAATAGTGTAATGGAGTTGGGTCCTTTGTGGAAAATGTTGAAATGATTCAGAATAAGATTAATTTGGTTCTTCTTTTTAGAATATGGCATTTCAAGCAGAACAGAAGATCAAAGCAGACATTTTGCGAGGCTTGAGTACAGAGCAGTTATTCCAGTTACTCTCTGATTCTGATGTAAATGTACTAATGAAGACTTTGGGATTACTTCGGAACCTTTTGTCTACTCGCCCTGTAAGTAAAAAAGTGGATTTTCAAAATGAATATCTTCAAAATGAATATTTTGAAGAGTGATTTGCAGGTCTTGTTACTTTCTTATTATTTATCATTACATATTGGGAGGTGATATTCCAGAACTTCATATCAACTTTATTAAGCTGTTGCTTGTCTAATTTACAGAACAAACATTCTGTAGAAATGACAAAGCAGAGTTCTTTTTGAACTCTTGTTGCTACAAATTATAAGTTTTGGGACTTGAGAGCTTTCTATCTGAAAACCAGAACATCTATTTTTTACATTGCATAAAACATGTTGCAGATCAAGGAGTAATAAATACAACAGTGTTTTATTTTAAAGGAAAACTAGGCTAAATGCATTGCTCAGTATTTGTAATGGAAACAAGCCTATCATACTATTTACATATGACCCCAATACAATTGTCTAAAATCACCTTTACCTATCATTTCTGTTGTGCTCCTATATTCATATATATGATTTGTTTCCATTGGCATAGACCTATTTCCTGCTATAAGAATTCTACAAAGCAAAGTAAGTTTTCTTAACTTCTTGAATTGTTTGTTAAAGTTATTTTTCAAATTCTTGGCAGCATATAGATCAGATAATAAGTACTCATGGGAAACAGATCATGCAAGCAGTAACTCTCATTCTGGAAGGAGAACACAATGTGGAAGTCAAAGAACAGGTATTGTACTTTATTGTATTAATACAGACAACAAGTTTAGACATGAAGAATTGTATTTTGTGTTGAATGAACAAAAATAAAACACCAAGCACTAAATTCTTCATGAAAAAAAATTCAAATACTTTTGCTAAGAGTGCATAAGGCTGTTTGCGTGCAAAATTTCTTGTGCAAGTATGTAAAAACGAAAGATGCAACTAGGAGATTATTATTCTGATTATTTTTCTAAGAAAGTTAAAAACAAGACTGCATAAAATGCAATCTCCCAAACTGCTGGAAGTAAATCAAGATAGAAATGGAAATAAAAGGTAGAGATATCAGAAACATCTCAGCTAAACAAATGCAAGTTCTTAGATCTGAGTTCTGAAAAAAGGCGGATCACGTACTGCTTGTTTCCTTTTAATCAAGTAAAACTATTTTTATATCCAATTTGGAGACCATCCATCTCATTCATACAGTGACTTTGTGATGATCCAAACGTATTTGACTGTTTAGAAACCTTGGGCTTTGGCAATTAGATGTATGGGTTTTCTGAGGGAAAGGCAAGATCCTCTGCTATATGTGTGTGCATGCTGGCTTTTGACCATAATGAATACTTAAATGCACAAATGGAAGAAAAAACTTTTGCTGTCACCTTTGGCTGGGAACCTGGGGAAATTAGGAGCCTGCAAGGTGTGGGGTCCCAAAGCTCTGGAGACATGATGTCATCCATTGTCCCTTTAATTTCCAAGTAAGAAATCAGGATAGCTTGAGGAGAAAAAAAAACCGCACTATTGAATTATTTACATGATTTCGCTTTTTTTGGTTTTTCTGTTTGAATGGAAAAGGTTTATGTAGGGTATTTTTTTTCTCAAAATTTATGCTGTTTTTCCACAGCTAGGCTGAGGTTTATTTATGTTTTATACTTATATTTCTGTTACCTTTCTTTCTGATGGGTGATTTATGGTTTTCCTCAGCTTACATCCATTCATTCAACAGCTATTCAAAATTATGGCTGCATTTGAAAGATGGACATACGACCACTCTCCAAAGTTACAACCATTGCATTACTCCCATAATTACATGATCACAATCCAGTTATGACATGGTTATGATGTCGCAGAGAATCATAGTCATTGAGCAATTTTCCCTGTTGACTTTCTACAAGCAAAGAAAATAGGGAAGCTGGAAGGAAACATCACAAGTAGCTCCAGTAAGTGACACCCACCTTTAGCACATACTCCATCCAGATACAGCCTCCACCAGGCCTCCCTAAGCTCTTTCTCAAGTCACATGCAGCCTTGCCTCATGTGTAGCCTACTCTAGGCTCCCAAGCGCCCCCCCCCCCGGCTTTTTCCATTTCCTATGGCATTTCACTGTTCTTTATCTGGGACATCAGATACATTGTCCTTAATGGCCTGCATGTCTGGGAGTTACAATGGCAAGTGGGACTGCCAAGTTTGCTGTTGCTAAGTGAAGCAAATGACATCATGCTTTATGACCACATCACTTATGGGCAGCAAACTCCATACCAATTGCCATTGTAACCTGAGGGCTATCAGTGTAATCATTGTGATTACTGCTTGAATACAAGAACTTCCACAGCTGAGTGAAGCGGTTGTTAATAGGTCACATACAATTTTGTGATCATTTTTGCTATAATTTTTAAGTCAACCTGGCTTCTCCTATTAACTTCTCTTGTGAGAACCTCCCCAGGAAGGTCAATCACATGACCCTGTGACACCAAGGGCCCAAATTTTTATCACATTATGGTGAGAGTACTGTGATGGTGTAAGTATGAGGATCAGTCATAAGTCAGTTTTTTCAACACTGGTGCAACTTAGAATTGTTGTTAAATGAATGGTTGCAAGTCAAGGACTACCTGTAAAAGTCTTCATAGTTTTATCTTCTTATCCTGTATTGCTTATGGAACTGTCTACTTGTCAGGCTGCCATGAAACATTGCCATTTCTATTGTTATTTCCATATATTTAGTTAGATTTCTATTGTTATTTCCATATATTTCTGTTCCTTCTCCTTCAGACATTATGTATACTTGCCAACATAGCAGATGGAACGACAGCTAAAGAATTCATCATGACAAATGATGATATTTTACAAAAAATTAAGTATTACATGGTATGTAATTTAAGTTTTTCTATAATTAAATTTTGGGAAAAGCTTATAACCCAGGGATTTTCAGCATTTGGTAGAAATCTGTATATTAAGTGCAGTACTGTTTGTTGCTCTAATTTTCTTGAATAGAATGCCTTTTCTTTTAAAATATTTTTTCAACTTTGCTTTCATTGAAGAAAAGCATAGGAATTTTATATCATTATTGTGAGTAATTTGGAGGCAAAAAACCTATATTACATAAAAGTTAAGAAAAAATGTAAATGTTTACTTAAGTCAAGTTTGGTTCCTTGCATTTGTTTCTTGGCAGCAATATGGAATTGGTTTGCCATTGACTTCTGCCAGAATACGCTTGCTGTTAGTTTTGTCTTTATAATCAAGGGTGTAGCTTCTTTTCCAAGTATTAACTAGATCAGCTAGGTCAGGGTAACAAAGCAATGGTAAACTAGATCCACACTTTTGCCAATAGCATTACATGATTCTGTGAAGTCAAAAAGTGTCAGTTTCAAAAGGGATTTGATTTTACTAAGGAATAACTTAAAATATTTCTGTCTAAATGTTTTTGTCTGCTTAGAGCCACTCAAATGCTAAACTTCAGCTGGCTGCCATGTTTTGTGTATCTAATCTGATATGGAATGAAGAAGAAGGTAAGAGGATATACTTGGGATTTTTATTCTGAAATGCTTAATTTAAAATGGAATTACATTTACAGTTGAGCATATGGAATGCATTTTTATGTTGGATGGGAAAATCACTACATTAAAAGACAGGTGAATTGAATATGCTATTTGATTCCCTTTGAGTGAAAAGGAAGTTATCTGCGGAAAAAAAATGAAAAGAACAATTTCTAGTGGATGAAATTTGAATAGGTAGACATTTTTGTCAGGAGCTGACAAATCAAGATCAAAAAATGGAGTAGCCATTAATGTGAAAAAATATACCATGGTAATCAGAAATACAAATTAAGGATGAGGAAGGTTGATTCATAATACTGGATTTAGACTGGATTTAGAAATGTAACTAAGCGTTGGTTCCATTTATGCGCTAATTGATAAAATTCTATAATCCCCCCCAATGAGATTAAATGGCTTTCTAGCAGATATTATATAGCCTCATCAAATGAGTTATATGATAAATAAAAATACTATTTATATGTTTAATGTTATTGAAAACAATCTTTAAAAATGGCCATGATTTTTCTTGGTGTTAAAAAAATATTTAATAATTTGGGGTGGTCTATGTTTTCAGTTCTGGAAAAAAGTAAGTTGTGTTCCTAATATTTTTCACATGGATACAGAGTATACAGAATGCAAAACTAGAATTATGGGGAATAGGTTTTTTTTTTTTCATTTCTATCTATTAAAGCGGAGCAGACCAAGTTGTCTCCTTTCATCTCTTTATTTTTACTTCTTTTTTTTTAACTTACCTTTATACATATGACTTAAAGGGGGCGCAATGGCTCAGCAGTTAAAAACACTTGCGTTATCAGCTGGAAAGCTGACAGCCCATGTTCAAGACGCATGTTCAAGAAGCTGCATTATGGGGTGAGCTCCCCGCTACTTGCCCCCAGCTTCTGCCCACCTAGCAGTTCAGAAGCATGCAAATGCTAATAGATAAATAGGTTCCACTTCAGTGGGAAGGTAACAGCGTTCCATGCACCTCAGCGTATAGTCATGCTGACCACATGATCGCTGGCTCCCTCAGATAAGAAATGGAGATGAGCACTGCCCCCTAGAGGTGGACACAAATGGACAGGGTTATACATATGAATGCTTATTTCATTTTACTGTAAAGTTTCTCTTTTTTTGATGGTCAGTGACTAATGAAATATTTGCTTCATTTCACAAGCTTCTCCCCCCCCCCAATTTTTTATTTGTTTTATTTATATATAATGTAAAAACTCAATTTCATTCAAACTGTATTGTCTGGTTACAATTATTTTTAGAAAATCATAAGCAAAATGTTTTCAACAATATTCATCACATTGATATTGTTTCAATAATAATATTTTACTTATGTACTTTAACAAATCTCCTTTATAACATTAGTTCTTTTTGTATCCCCGTGTTTCTAACTTCTGTTTTTATTATCTAACCGTTGATAAAATAAGTCCCATGTCAAGAAATATTCAGTTCCTTCGATTACACTCTCATCTGTCAGGATCCTTCACTTTTCCATTGCTGTGCAAATACAATTCTGGCTACATTTCACAAGCTTCTAATGATGCATAAGAATATATTACTTTTATTTCAGATTTGTTTGTATATTTCTTATATTCTTACAAAAATATATAAAATGGAGACAGCATGGGAAGAGTTGACACTAAGAAGGATAAGATTTTGAGTTGGGCCATACTTTGACTTTGTTTTTGACCCCAGCAAAAAAAAAAATCATTAAAAATATATTTCTTTTTAAAATGATATCAATAATTCTCAATTAATAAAACATTAAACAAAAGAATAGAAAATGTAATTTATCTACTGTAAATTAGAATGGCATAACTTCTTTTGTTGCTATGCCAATTAAATTATCATAAAAGTAATAGAAAATAGATTATTGGCTAGTAGTTCCACCACTGAAAAATTAGGTTTTACTCCCCTAGATGTATCAGAACTTAACTTTGATTAAAACACAAGATAAATTGATTGGCCTTTGCAGAAAAGGGGAGAATCAGCTGTTTCGTGTCTGTTCCCTCTTTAAGTCTACCTACTTCTCTTGACATTGGATATCATACTGTTGAGTACTTTGGCCTCAGGCTGCTGTTAATGAATGCCAGATCTGTTTGAAATAAGATTGTGATCCTTCACAACTTGATTGTGTAGGGAAAAAAAGCAGAGCTAGTATGTGTGACCAATAGCTGGCAAGATGAGAAAGGCTTATTCAAAATTACCCATATGCATGTCATGTGTTTCTGTAGGCTTTTACATTGGATTATATATTGCCTTGACACTGTTTAATCAGTCTGATATAAAATGCATCAGTTACCAACATGTAATTATTTTATATTAGGTTCCCAAGATCGTCAGGACAAACTCAGAGATATTGGAATAGTAGATATTCTACATAAACTGAGTCAGTCGTCAGATCCAAATCTTTGTGAAAAGTAAGTAAACAGAAGTTTCAAAACCAAATTGAATTGAATTTGATTACTTTGTAATTAGATTTTCTGTACACTGTATAAATTACTGTATTTTTCAGACCATAAGACGCACCAAACTATAAGATGCACCTAGCTTTTGGGGAGGAAAACAAGAAAAAAAATCCTGCCTTTGCCTCCCAGCAGTTTGCCTCCTTGCAGCAAACAGCCTGGTCAGCTTCAGCACAGCCTGGTTTAATGCGAGCAGCTGATTGACGGTTGGATCTGCCTCCCAGAATACTGATGATCAGCTATTCCAGGCTGCGGAGATCACCACCGCCTATCAGTGTCATCACTGCCCATCGCCGTTGCCACATATCCCTGCCTCCATGCGCTCCATTTCAGCCTCCATGAATCCCAGGTGGCCAAAAACAGGACGTGTGTAGACCGAAAATTGGGTGCGCGGAAGCCAAAAACAGGATGCGCAGGGGCAGAGATGGGTGGTGGTGATCCCTGCAGCCTGGAATAGCTGATCATTGGTATTTCAGGAGGCAGATCCAACCGCCAATCAGCTGATTGTGCTAAATCAGGCTGTGCTGAAGCTGACCAGGCTGTTTGCTGTTCGCTGCAAGGAGGCAAAATGCTGGGAGGCAGAGGCCGAAGGATGGGGGCCAGTGGGAGGGCGGAGCTTTGGCAACATTCACTATAAGATCCACTCACTTTTTTGGAGAGGGGAAAGTGCATCTTAAAGTCCAAAAAATGCAGTATATACAAGTTATGTTTCTCTTTGCATTTTGTGTTTTTTTCCCCTGGCAAACCAGAATTGTCCCAAGTTTTAGGATGGCTTAGTGTTGATGAGTGAAATCTATGCTTGATTTGTTTATGTTATCCATGACTCTGGATAACTAAAGGTTAAATAAAGACAACAATAATATAACATAATGAACCAGTCGCCAGGATTTTAAAAAAACAACAACTAATGAAAAACTATTTCACAGGGTCATACTGACAACCTCACCCTTGTGCCTGAGAATGTATCTCTCTCTTCAGGACCTTCAGGCTGGCAAAGTTAGGGCAATCTAATATCTGATGCAAGAGTATTCTAAAGCAGGGGTCTCCAACCTTGGCAACTTTAAGACCTCTGGACTTCAACTCCCAGAATTCCTCAGGAGTTCTGGGAGTTGAAGTCCAGAGGTCTTAAAGTTGCCAAGGTTGGAGA